ATATATATATATATATATATATATATATATATATATATATATATATTCCTGATAAGGCACATTCCAAGACGTCAGTCTCCAAAAGTTTCAGTTCTGTGTTTGTCACAAAAATAAAGCTTTATGTATTTAAGGGACAAGAGCTGCAGTTTTTAGGAGAATAAGCCTTTTTATTTTCAAGAATTGATTTGCTTAGCCAGGTCTTTGATTCTATCATTTTGCACTAAGAATGGCATAATCCAGTTACTGTTCGTGTTAGTTCTGATTGAACAGTGCAAGCTTGCTGTTCCTGTTTGGGTTTTTTATATATAAATTGCTCCTACGTATACTGAAACATATTTCTCCTTTCTTTAACATCTGCATATATAAATGTTATCACACGTAAGTAATTTATTGCTAACTAAAAAAAAACGAGACAAAAAAAACATGCTACTGATTGTATGTATTTTTAAACAAAGCCTATTTTTTCTGTACAAACAAACAAAACAAAAACTGTGTTCAGCACTTTTATTCTGGGTTTGCTTTTGTTTTCTATATATATTTATAATTTAGATCTAAATGTATATATTGTAAAATTTGTGCCTTTTGACTAATTCTTAAATAAAAGGTTTTCTACTCATTACAGGAAGGACTATATGAAATTGCAATCTGAACTTTGTAAACAAATAAAAACTTGAAGATTGCTGAAATCCAAGTCTCGGTTTTTTCATCGTTGTTGTCTCCAGATGTTTTTTTTCTAAAAAGTGACTACACGTGGAGGACATAAATCGCAAGCAATTACACTACTACACGTGTCAAACTCAAGGCCCGGGGGCCAAATGTGGCCCTCGTGGACATCTGGCCCCCAAGAAGATATGTTTAACGTAAAATACTTTTATTACTTTAATTTTTTTTCAGTAATCTTTTATGTCAAAAGTGCAGCAGAGAATGTCACATGAGACCAAACTCTTGTTGAGGAACCTGCAACCAAGAAAAGATGTTGGGTATCTAACTTGAGTTAATGTAGATTCTGAAACTGGCCCTTATTTTAAATAAGGTTTTAATTTTGGCCAACTTTTGTAAGTGAGTTTGACACCCCTAATGCACAGATTTCTACAGGCTGGGGTTAAAACAACAGCATAAAACCATAAATTTAACATTATTATACAGTGCCTTGTGAAAGTATTCGGCCCCCTTGAACTTTTCAACCTTTTGCCACATTTCAGGCTTCAAACATAAAGATTTAAAATTTTAATTTTTTGTGAAGAATCAACAACAAGTGGGACACAATCGTGAAGTGGAATGAAATTTATTGGATGTGTCAAACTTTTTTAACAAATAAAAAACTGATAATTGGGGCGTGGAATATTATTCGGCCCCCTTGCATTAATACTTTGTAGCGTCACCTTTTGCTGCAGTTCCAGCTGCAAGTCTCTTGGGGTGTCTCTATCAGTTTTGCACATGGAGAGACTGAAATTCTTGCCCGTTCTTCCTGTAAACAGCTCGAGCTCAGTGAGGTCGGATGGAGAGTGTTTGTGAACAGCAGTCTTCAGCTCTTTCCACAGATTCTCGATTGGATTCAGGTCTGGACTTTGACTTGGCCATTCCAATACCTGGATACGTTTATTTGTGAACCATTCCATTGTAGATCAGGCTTTATGTTTTGGATCATTGTCTTGTTGGAAGATAAATCTCTGTCCCAGTCTCAGGTCTCTTGCAGACTCAAACAGGTTTTCTTCCAGAATGGTCCTGTATTTGGCCCCATCCATCTTCCCATCAATTCTGACCATCTTCCCTGTCCCTGCTGACGAAAAGCAGGCCCAAACCATGATGCTGCCACCACCATGTTTGACAGTGGGGATGGTGTGTTCAGGGTGATGAGCTGTGCTGCTTTTACACCAAACATATCGTTTTGCATTGTGGCCAAACAGTTGGATTTTGGTTTCATCTGACCAGAGCACCTTCTTCCACATGTTTGGTGTGTCTCCCAGGTGCTTGTGACAAACTTTAAACAACTCTTTTTATGGATATCTTTGAGAAATGTCTTTCTTCTTGCCACTATTCCATAAAGGCCAGGTTTGTGCAGTGTACGACTGATTGTTGTCCTATGGACAGACTCTCCCACCTCAGCTGTAGATCTCTGCAGTTCATCCAGAGTGATCATGGGCCTCTTGGCTGCATCTCTGATCAGTCTTCTCCTTGTTCCAGATGAAAGTTTAGAGGGACGGCCGGGTCTTGGTAGATTTGCAGTGGTCTGATACTCCTTCCATTTCAATATGATTGCTTGCACAGTGCTCCTTGGGATGTTTAAAGCTTGGGAATCTTTTGTATCCAAATCCGGCTTTAAACTTCTCCACAACAGTATCTCGGACCTGCCTGGTGTGTTCCTTGGTCTTCATGATGCTCTCTGCGCTTTGAACAGAACCCTGAGACTATCACAGAGCAGGTGCATTTATACAGAGACTTGATTATACACAGGTGGATTCTATTTGTCATCATCAGTCATTTGGGACAACAGTGGATCATTCATAGATCCTCACTGAACTTCTGGAGTGAGTTTGCTGCACTGAAAGTAAAGGGGCCGAGTAATATTGCACGCCCCACTTTTCAGTTTTTTATTTGTTCAAAAAGTTTGACACATCCAATAAATTTCATTACACTTCACGATTGTGTCCCACTTGTTGATTCTTCACAAAAAAATAAAATTGTATATCTTTATGTTTGAAGCCTGAAATGTGGCAAAAGGTTGAAAAGTTCAAGGGGGCCGAATACTTTCGCAAGGCACTGTATCTAGCTACGCATGCAAAGAACAAAAAATGTGCATTTTCTCATAAAATACCTTCACTACCAGAAATTATTATTGCTGCTGTCAGAAATTTACATCACAGGCAGCAGC